CTATTCTATTCTATTCTATTCTATTCTATTCTATTCTATTCTATTCTATTCTATTCTATTCTATTCTGGTGAGGAGAAAAATCATCCACCTAGAACTCGATCTACCAGACTATCAATCTATGGGCTTAATCGGTTTAAAAATGGAGGCGTCGGACGAGGAACTAGGGATCTACGCAGCATACCGCCCGCCAGCGACTCCATTTTTTTCCTCAGATATCCAGACGATAATGGAAGGCGTAGAACCTACCATTATCCCGGAGGACCTAAACGCAAAACACCCGGCCTGGGGATCTAGACTGCTCAACCCAGCCGGTCGTGAACTTAATGAAGACGCGGAAACAACAACTATGACGTTTTAGGTCCCAGAGAACCGACGCACGTTCCAGCACATCTACGGAAACGTCTGGATGTACTGGACATCGTGCTCTCTAGGAACATTAACTTCCCGGTAATGGTAGATGTGCTGCACGACCTGAGCACACAGCACCTCCCGATTTTTTATAGGATAAGGGTGACAAACGAGCACACAGTCCACCTGATGGTAAGTGGTTGCTGCGGTCCATAGACATCTACATCTACCCTCAATTTCGAATCAAAATGCAGATGCGTTGTCACCCGAGAGGACTAAGATGGAATGCCTAATTTCCAGTAAAAAGGGTCTCCGGTTCTCTACACTCACCATACGAAACACATCAGCGTTAAGCTGCTATATTACGCTGGTATTCTGTGAGAGCGGGGTCCTTCCCCGGTCGAGCCGACCCATTCGTGCCACAACTATACCACTAATATAGCTGCAGCATTGCTCTACCACGTATAAAATAATTAACGATATTAATTACCCTTGGCTTTAGGGCGTTGACTTCGTCTACCAGAGCTTTCAAAACCAAAATCAACTGGAGGCTCTACCAGCAATACCTACAGGAGAGACTTCCAGTGAACACACAAATAAATTCAACCAATAACGCTGGTACCGCACATAGCCAATTCAATAGAGCGAATATTACTAAGAAGAGTCCACCCTTGCCTGTATGCAATATGCTAAGGGCGGAACAACACGGATTTAGGAGAGATCACTCTACAGCAATACAGCCTTGCAGCCAAGTACAACCGCTGCCGCATAACTTTGGGCGTCTTTCTCGATATAAAGAAGGCGTTCGACAGGCACTCTCGATTACTTTACAATCTGAAAGAACAAACGAGTATCCCTCCTTCTATGCTGCGGCTAGTGCCGTCATTTTTGAAGGATAGGACGTTCTACGTCTGCGTCGAGGATGCCGAGTTCGCAGTGAAACCGATAAGAGCCAGCGTACCACACGGCAACTGTCTTTCGCCACTCCTGTACGCGACTTACACCAATGACATCCCAACCCTGGTAGGACACGTACACGAATAGGAGGACGATGTAGAGCTGGCTCTATATGCGGACGATAACGTCTACTTTACATCGTCCAGAAGAGTACCTATCGCTGCTGCCAGGATGCAGAACCTGCTGGTCCTGCTGCCACCATGGTTTGATGAGTGCGGTATGGCCGTCAACGTTGGTAAGACGATCGTTCTGCTCAACCGCCACCTCAGAAATTTATGAACACTACTGACGCTCAGAGGCTAAGAGAAGGCGTATTATCGCGTATCAGAAGGCCGTGACCGACCTTGGGTACCGGATAGATAGGATGCTACGCATACTGCAACGTCGACATCGTCGACCACAATGTCAGATGTGCGCGGGCGATGATCCGTCCCGTCCTGGCATCTAAGCTGCCAATTAAAACCAAAATTAAATTATTCAAGATGTATATTAGATCGAGGCTAACATACGCCGCTTTTTGACACCAATTTGCAGCGACCAGAGAATTAAACCCCCGACCGCTGTTTTATACCTACAATGCCAATAACTATTCCCATGACAGGTTCACTGAGTTGGGCCGTGTTCTCCCGGTTAATGGGGGATGCCCCGAGGCCCGATACTTGCTGTGTTCTAAAAAGCACACACGCAAACAACAACATAGTGGTCGTTTGTAATTCGTTTGGGACCAGCTACAGTTTCAGTTTACAATCAAGAAAGAAAAGTGATTGGGGAAAGTAGTAAAAGGTGAAAGTTTCAATATCACATTTCCAAAAGGAGTTTTAATAAAGAAATTAAAGTTTTATTTCAAGATCATTCAGTGTTCACATATACAGTCCACTAAGTACATGGGAGCACTAAGCTCGAAGTTGTTGACGAGTATGTTTACCTGGGACAAATTGTCCGACTAGGTAAGTCCAACTTCGACCGAGAGGTCAATCGACGGATTCAAATCGGCTGGGCAGCGTTCGGGAAACTACAACACATCATCTTCAGACATAGTTCAAAACCTTAAAACGAAAATGTACAATCAGTGCGTGTTGCCAGTGATGACTTACGGATCTGAGACGTGGTCCTTCACTGCTGGCCGTATGAGGAAGCTCAAGGTCGCTCAGCGAGCTATGGAGAGGACTATGATCGAGGTTTCTCTGCGTGATAAACTTAGAAATGAGTATATCCGCAGTAGAACCAGAGTAACCGACATGGCCCAACGGATTAGTAAGCTGAAGTGGCAGTGGGCCAACCATATAGCTCAAAGAACCGACAACCGATGGGGAAGAAAGGTTCTTGATTGGCAGCCTCGTACCGGTAGGCGAAGCGTAGGTCGACCCCCCACGAGATGGAGTGACGACCTGGTAAGACATGCAGGAAGTCGATGGATGCAGGTGGCTCAGGACCGTGCTTTGTGGCATTCCTTGGGGGAGGCCTATGTTCAGCAGTGGACTTATGAAAGGCTCTAATGTATGTATGTATGTATATATATATACGACTGCTTTCATGTATATATGTCTTGAAAGCAGTCGTATGTATGTATATATACGACTGCTTTCAAGACCGGGACCATTCCATAGAGAATCGTCATCTTAGTCGTTAACCATTTCTTTTGAGAGAGGACAGAGTTCTAAGTTTAACTTCATACTCTGGGGCAAATACGGGGCCCCCGGGTTACAGAGGCCCAGAACGTATGTAAGCAAAAATTCTAAGGACTTCTATGGGACAGGATGTTTGAATTGTTTGGCTAGCTTAGTTCTTAGGAGTATTAATTGTAAGTAATAACTTATAATCAATATATAATTATTTCAATTAAATGTGAGAGTTTTTGTTCGTTTTGTGATCTTCTAAATCTTTACTTTTCATTTGACTATTCATTTCAGGGCCCCTTTAAGTCACGCTACTCCATTGCTCTGGGGCCACGTCCACCTCGTTTTTCCAAAACCTAACTTGGTGTGGTGTTGGTCTGGGAATAGAAGGTCAATAATTGGTTGATGTCTGATGCAGGGTGTGAGACGAAGACCGTGTTGCCTCTCAATCATAATTTAAACACTAGGAACGAACCAAAAACGAAGATCACAAAAAATTACAAAGAAAAAATTACAAAGATAGGTTACACACTAACATTATTGTATTTTAAAGTGGCGCAGGCAATACTATATCTACGCACAGTTATTTTTTATGACACGTTGCGCTAACAAAAAGAGACAAATGATAGGGTATACCTATCGTTAGAAAAAGATGAATATATATCATTAGTTGCGTATTGATTGCTGCCGAGCGCTCATTGGCGCGAGCGCGTGGCATTCTGATATGGAAAATGAACACACTAGCTAGCGTCAAAGTTTACACTAGCGGTTATTGTTGAAATAATGAAACCAATTATGAACAAAACATCTATATTCAAAATATTAATGAGACGTTTTTCTTGTCTCTAACAGTTCCCGTGTAATTTGTGCATCACTTAAAAACACAGGAAGGCATTTTTGCCACGAATAACTAGAAGATTTACGCGCTGTAGCAAAGGTATAGCCGCGACGGGAGAGCGTGCCCGACTGAATGAGAGTCGGGCAATTACCTGACTTTCGTATAGCCATTTTAGAGCGAGTATGACGTAACTATATTTTAAAAACATCTTAGGAACGAACATAAGCTTGTAATGCCAAATACTAGACTCCAAAACATCAGTAATTCATTTATGGGGCAATGTATACGCTTTTACAATAAAATCCCAGAATATGTTCAAAGTTTGTCAATAAACTAGTTTAAAAGTTTTATTAAAGTAAGATGGTACAAAAGGATTATCAAAATATGAAGGAATATATTGTTACGAGCTTGGGGTTCGAGACAATTAAAAACTGCTGATTGAATTACCAAAACTGACACTTTAATTACACAACAATAATTACAATCTAAAACCACACTAATAATAAACACAATTTTACCACTGATCACTAGTTCGCAGTTATTTCGCTTCGAAGTATTCGCTTGTATCGCCAATTCAATTGTGCTTTGGTCGTGGTCTATACCGGCCTTATATAGGGCCTCAGATAGTTTCCAGAGTTTTTCTTTTATTGTAGTGACATCTAGAATGTTCGATTACATATCGGTCCCGAAATTTCTGGAAGGATCTTGACTCTCTTATTTCTGCTACTCGACACTAGAGGGCGCTAGTGTAACTAGTGTTGCCATGTATAATTTAGGTTTAAAATTTTTTTGCGCGGAACAATAATTCTTTTTTTAAATAAAAGTAGTCAAAGTTACTCCTTAAAGCATCAGCTATGATTAATTTTTTGTTCTGAAATGTTACTTATATATTATATAATTTTGATAAGAAACAGGAAAACTATATTCCTCAAAGAAGAATAATTAAAAGAAAGTTAAGAATATGCAATAATTTAAAAATACTAAGTATTTACAAATACTAGAGATCGAAAAAACTATTTCAATCGCAACTTTTCAATGATGATAACAATGTGTGACTAGTTTGCTACATATCTATTTATCTGTGTATGTGACCACCTGCGTAAGAAATAGTTAAACTTAATCCCAGCTAGCGACATCTGGTGAGTGTAAGAATATTAGATATCAGACAAGGCTGTATAGTCTAAGCCCTTTGCCTACCTTAATTGGCAAATCGTAACAACAACAACAACAAAAGTTTGACATTCAAATTTTCAAGCTTTTGTAAACATTGAGAACCATAAAATTGATTTTTTGAAAACAAAGAACGATGTAAGAGAGAAGTGCGAGATTTTTTTGTCATCATACATTTAGTTAACTTATTAAAGGTTTAAAATTTTAGATTACCAACCATTTGTCAAGAATGTTCTCAAAGTCTTGCGTTTATGATTAATCTACTTCTTTGGCTGAACCGACTGTAGTACAGAAATGTATCCATCCGGGGAGAATTACTTTTTGCAGTCACGACAAAAGCTTTATAGGGGTGAAGAGTTTGAAGAGGAATTGAATGATTTATTCAACAAAAAGTTTCAATTTCGTTTCAATAGCGAGTGGGTATTGCCTGCTGCTGATAATTGGTTTTCCGAATCGCCTTGGAAGGTTAAAGGACTGGAGTATTTAAAAAGTCGCCTGAATTTTCACAAAAGCCAGTTGAATGATTTTAGCATTGAGGAATGGAGCAGTCATACTCGTCGAAGAAACCCAGCTGGAGAAGTTTGCTGGAAACTCAGATGCTTGGTGAATCCTGAGTTTCTTACCCAAGCTTGGACAAAGTTCTATGAATGTGCATCAACATACAATGTTATCCCCACTGAAGCTGTCAGTGATATGAAAATGGTGTCTTTGCACTTATGTGAAGCTCCTGGCGCATTCATTACTTCTTTAAATCATTACCTGAAGCTGCATCATCCAAATATTGTTGTAAGTATAAAATAAGATTACCTTAATTTTTTAAGATTTTTGTTTTTGATCATAGTTGTTTGTACACATGAAGCCAGCTAGATGGCTTCATGGTGCAGTGGCTTAAAACTGAGTTACAGAGCTAAGGGCTGCGGGTTTAAATACTGCATGGAACAAGTGTTTGTATGGCCTATAATTATTGGTGCTTGGTCTGGATGTTTGTCCTTCTGCAGTTTATGTTTGTGAACTGCCTCTACCATACTACAGAAAGTCCTAGTGTGGGGTGATGTTCAAAAAAAAAAAGAAAATCAAAGTATATTATATTATATTAGATTGGTTGGTGATGCCACTTTTACAATAACACTCAATTGTTTCATATTTTTGAATTTTCATTTTTATATACACTTTTTTGTAAGCATATACTGTGGAAAGTATATTTTCTTATGACATTGTTAAATCCTAGGAGATTATTTCAAAACATATTAAGTACTTGTTCTTTTTGTACGTGGTAGAGCCATGCTGCAGCTATATAAGTAGTATAGTTGTAGCACAAATGGGTCGGCTCGACTGGGGAAGGACCACACTCACAGAATACCAGCGTAAAATAGCACCTTAACACTGCTGTGTTTCGTGTGGTGAGTGTAGAGAACTGGAGACCCTTTTTACTGGAAAAGAGGTATTCCATCTTAGTCCCCATGGGTGACAACGCATCTGCGTTTTGATTTGCAAACGAGGTTAGATGTTGATGTCTATGGATCACAGCAACCACTTACCATCAGGAGGACTGTGTGCCCCTTTTATCACCCTATCCTATAAAAAAGAAATCTATCTATTAATGTGGCATTATTTGGGTTTAATATAATCAAAGACCACAGACACTAGACATTTTATCAATCCATCCTTTTTCAAAAAAAATCTTTAAGTTTTTAGGATAAAGTATAGATCTCTCTTGGTGTAGCTCTTTATCTGTTTTTAAAGTTTCATCAAAATTGGTTTAGCTATTCTGAAGAATAGCTTGGATAGTCAGACCTATGGATAAAAATTTGTAACATCTTCTTTATTCATGTCCAAATGGCATGCAAATAATCTACTGAGTTTAATATAAGGCAGTTATCTGGATATTACAGACAGATGCTTCAATTTTATTTGTATGTATATTTTAGTTTTGGTCCAAGTGGTCCAGAAAAAATCCATAAGTGGTCTTTACTATCTCTAGAGAGGATAGTTTATTTAAAATATTATGAATTATGATTTTACATTTTATTAATTAGAAGGATGTGGCATGAGAATGAAAGGCTGTGTATTTCAATATGATCACTTGTAGATTATGTATCACAATAGTAATATATCATTCTTTTATCTCTCCCTGAACTCACGTCGCTTATTAAAATTGCTTCCTATTCCTAGAGCTTTAATTTATCATGGATATTTTTAATTTATGAATATGTTAACTCTTTGTTAACGTATTGATAAATTTAAAATATCCAGGGAGTTCATCACTTTTTAAACATAAATTGTAAAATTTCTAGTGGAAGTGGGTAGCAAATACACTGAATCCATACTACGAAGGTAACTCACCCTCCAATATGATCAGTGATGACCGTTTCATGTTTCACACCTTGGACAACTGGGACTTTGGTGTTGACAACACAGGCAACTTAATGGACTGGGATAACTCTCAAGCCATCATAGAGAAGGCCAAGTCTTTGGGAAAGGTAAGTCAATATTTAAATCCATTGTTCACGCCCCTTGTTGCCCCTACAAAGGTCGAATGGGCTAGGGCCCATAGTAGCCTCCTCGACGAGCAACAGGGGACAGGGCCCAATGGCCTTATGGATAAAGGCTCAAAAACGGCTGACAAATAAGCAAGCACTTACCAATCTCCGGAGGTAGGATTGACCACAGGGTACCTCTCAGGTGATAAGCGATGTGCATGTAAAGTGCTGTTGCGAAAGTGTATATACATGTAACCTGACGGTCCGTTGAAGTCGGAGAGAAGATGCACAGGCGCTGCCGTTCTCCAAATGTGCGCTCCCTCCAGTCGTAGTTAACCATTTAAAAACTTCTGCCTTCATTTCACTATTTCAGTTTATCAACTTACTGTACATTTAATTAACTCCAAAGTCAACCAACTCTTCGTTCATCGAAATTAACACAAGTGACACACGACACAAGTAACAAATCGTCGTTCAGAGTTCAATATTCAATGTTCCGGGTTCACGTGGCACAAATTTACAAACACGGGAACGAACGCGGCCTCTTCTCGAGGCTCAAAGTTCAGCGTTCCACACGACAAGCTAAAATTCCTTCGTACGATATTAAAATACCACGCCCGCAATCGGAACTCAAAGTTGGCCTCGTTGACACGTAAAAACGATCGAATAGTCAACACACAAAAGGCACTTAACGCGACGTTACAATTCAACATTAACTTCCAAAAACAATTAACCGGGCCATGCCCTCGAAATGAAATGCGAGCATCAAATTCCAGGCCGTCTGTCCACTCGGCGTGCGCACACGGTTCCACGTCATACAATCGAATTAAATATTGCAAATGCGCTTCAATATCACTCTCAAATTGACTCAATCACTTTACAAATTGACGTAAATTACTTGCAAACAAAGGTAAGTTAATCATTCAACTCAACAAAAGGGCCTCGTTATCACTTCAAACGCTCCAAAAAAAAAAACAACTCAATTCGAGGTGGTCTTAAAGAGACCCACATCTTCGATAGTAAGTTAGACGCGCACAATTACTCAAATTTTAGACCAGTTTCAATTTTTTTTTTATAGGAGAGGGGGCAAACGAGCATGCGGCTCACCTGATGGTAAGTGACTACCGCCGCCCATGAACAACCGCAACACCAGGGGAATTGCAGATGCGTTGCCGGCCTTTTAAAAAGGAGTAGGCTCTTTTCTTGAAGGTCCCTAAGTCGTATCGGTCCGGAAAAATCGCTGGTGGTAAACTATTCCACAAGGAAGTTGTGCGAGGAAGAAAACATCTTCTAAATTGCACAGTGGTGGACCGCCAATCATCCAGATGGTGTGGATGGTATCGAGAGTTCTGCCGCGATGTGCGTTCGTGAAATTTGGCGGCTGGGATTAATCCGAACAATTCCTCAGAGCACTCCCCATGGTAAATGCGAAAGAAAATGCTAAGAGATGCAACATCTCTTCGCAGTGCCAATGAGTCGAGCCGATCAGAAAGGACTCGGTCGTCGACGATTCGAGCCGCTCTGCGCTGGATGCGGTCAAGTGGAAGAAGCTGGCACTGGGGAGCCCCAGCCCAGAGATGGGAACAGTATTCCATGTGAGGCCGAACCTGCGCCTTGTAAAGTTGCAGGCGTTGAGCCGGCATGAAATACTGTCCCGCTCTGCTGAGCACGCCAAGCTTTTTAGAGGCCAATTTGGCCTTCTCTTCCAAGTGACCACGAAACTGCACGCTACTCGATATGTCGACGCCGAGGATTCCGATACTGGCTGAGGCAACAAGGGGAGTACCTTGAAACTGAGGAGATACGACAAAGGGGTTCTTTTTAGCGGTAAACGCGCAAACTTGTGTCTTCTGAGGATTAAACTGGACTAGATTTAGTCGCCCCCAATCCGAGACTTTGTCCAGCAAAGACTCGACTTCAGACACAAGTTTGTTCCGGTACTCGGTGACGTTTTCCCGAGAAATATTGGCACGGCCGGTGTATAGAGCATCACCAGTGCTGTCATCTGCATAGCAATGAATGCTACCAGCTTGCAACATATCTTTGATATGCAGAAGAAACAGCGTTGGTGATAGCACGCAGCCTTGTGGAACACCAGCGTTAATAGGCTTGTAGTCGGAGCATGCACCGTCTACAACGACCTTGATGCTCCGATCTGCAAGAAAGCTGGTGATCCAATTGCATAATTTCTCGGGAAGCCCATAGGAAGGGAGCTTCGAAAGAAGCGCTTTGTGCCAAACCCGATCGAAGGCCTTCGCAATGTCCAAACTAACGGCCAATGCCTCCCCCTTGGACTCTACTGCCAACGCCCATCTATGAGTTAAGTAGACCAGAAGATCACCAGCTGATCGACCCCGACGAAAACCGTACTGGCGGTCACTAATCAGCTGGTGATCCTCAAGGTACCGCATGAGGTGGCAGTTTACAACGGATTCCATTATTTTGGAGAACAAGGGGGTGATGGTGATAGGCCTGTAGTTGGACGGATCTGAGCGGTCGCCTTTTTTAGGGATCGGGTGGACAAAAGCTGTCTTCCATGATTTCGGGACTACGCCTAGGGAGTAGGAGTACCGGAAAAGACGCGTTAGAACCGGTGCCAACTCCGGAGCACACGTCCTCAGCACAATTGGGGGGATTCCGTCAGGCCCACTCGACTTGTGGATGTCAAGGGAGAGGAGTGCTCTGCGAACCGAGCGCTGTGAGAATCGCACATCCGGCATGGAGCACTCACACCGCGGGATGGTCGGCGGTGTGTTCCCCCCGTCATCAACAGTCGAGTTGGACGCAAAAAGGGAGCCTAAAAGGTCGGCCTTCTCTTTTGCGTCGTGGGCCAGTGAGTCGTCCTCCCTGTGCAGAGATGGTAGTAATGGCTTACAGAAATTCCCTTGGACAGCCTTGGCGAGAGACCAGAATGCACGGGTTCCCGAAGGAAGGCGAACTAATTTCTCGCCAATTCTGCCTATGTGCTCTGACTTTGCCTTGGCAATAACTCTTTTGAAGGACCTGGAGGCGAAGTTATACTTCTTTTTGAGTGTGCTGGTGTTTACATCCCGAGTCACCGAAGCCGCAGCCCAGGCTTGATAACACTCCTGCTTACTGCGTAATGCAGTCTTACAGGAGCGACCAAACCAAGGCTGAGATCTGCCTCCGATGGGTACCACAGATGATGGAATAAATAGTTCCATTCCCTGTAGTACTACATCAGTGACAGAGTCAGCAACAGCGCTGGGATCATCCGGCGAGAAGCAAACCCGCCCCCATGGGTAGGAAGCAAAGAAAGACCGCATTCCGTCCCAATCCGCCGACCTATAATGCCAAACACGGCGGCAACCTGCAGAACGCAACCGCGAGGGGAGCGTGAGTGGCACCACACTCCGGATCAGACAATGGTCCGAAGAGCCACGAGGGGCATCGACGGAAACCTGATATCCGTCCGGATGAGAGGTCAGCAGAAGGTCCAACAGGGAAGGTGTATGATCCTCAACATCTGGAATCCGCGTAGGCGATGTAACCAGTTGTGTCAGACCATATGCCAAGGCAAAGTCATAAACAGATCTTCCCGCATGATCGGTTAAACGTGAACCGAGCCATTCGGCGTGGTGGGCGTTAAAATCGCCAAGGATCACGATCTCTGCGGATGGGACCTGTTGTAGCAAGGAATCTGTAGCCATTTGGACGTGGTCGATGAGTCGGTCTGTTTCGGCATTACCGCTATGGGACCTATAGAGGCACACGTAGACGCGCGGATGGTCGTCGCTGTCTACGCGTAGCCAAAGGATGGACAGGTCCGAACCTTCAAGACTGCCGAGGCGTCGAGAACAGATGTCCTCTCTGACATACACGCAAACTCCAGCCCGAGGCACAAAGGAGTGCTCCAATTTGTACCCCGGGTAGGAGAGATACGAAGTATCAGCCGGAGAGGACACCTGCGTCTCGGTCAGAAAGAGCAAGGCCGGCTTCGCCGTCTCAAGATGGTAGTGGACGGCGTTTAGGTTCGAGTGAAGTCCCCTGATGTTGCAGAAATTCACGGATAGCGTGGCAGGGGTCGCCTTGGTCTTGTTGCTCAGTTTGCCCCGAGCAGTTATTGTGTTGAGCGGAATTTTGCCCCCCCCAGAATACGCGGGGCAGCCTGAGCACCCACGCTCAGGAGTGGAATAGCATGGTCGTGGATGCTCAGCGAGGGATTCTCCAGGGGTACTGGTACCCTCCTGGGGTAGTTTATGACGTAATTTCGCTACCATATTGATGGGGGGGGGGGGAATTGGGCATCCGGTCACCTGCACTCACCAGACGCAACGCGGAAGCAGAGCTTCCACTTCACGCCGGTATTCTGTGAGGTCGTGGTACTAACCCGGCTCGAGCCGGCCCATACGTGCAACAGCAAAAGCTGCTGCAAGGCTCTACCACCGTTAAACATGGATGTTTAGGCCCAAATGCCCATGTTTGGGCCTAAACATCCATGTACTCATTTTCTAGAATCACCCAAATCGGGATGGTGTGAGAATTATTCGGTACACTTTGTAACATATTTTTGGTGAAACCGATCGGGTTATAAATTAATTTCAAATTTTAGGTGAGGATTTTCTGTGTTCAACAGATTTTGGCACTCTTTTCCGCTACATGCATATTTGTCCAGTACAAAGTAAACTTTAAGTTTCTTGGTCATGACAGACCGGACAGGGTTCTACGGTCAGCCGGAGAACTTATACTCGCGCCACATTCATATCGAACTAAATACTTTAAAAACTCCTTCACAGCCATCTGCTTATGGAATGATCTTCCTTCGCAAATTCGTCGTGCGAAAACACTAGAAAAGTTTAAGACTGACATCAATAATTACTACCTAACAGTGCAATAAATACTGGTCATCATTTGCGACATGTATTTTTTGTATCCTGTCTGTATTTATTTGTGTAATTTTTATGTATATTTGCCTATTTAGTCTTATGTATGTCTATTATATTTTGAATGTATATATTAGTGTATTAAATATTTTATTA